AGGTGTAAAACTTATCAGTAATAAATTGAGAATTTAATTAATTATTACCATATTTATTGTTTATTGAAAAAATCACAACATTATTGTTAATATTTTTATATATGTTGATTATGCTGTAATTTATATAGATTTCATAAAGTTTGCTTTTTTATAATGTAAAACAATTCTAAAAAATTTTAAAATATTACTTTAAAAGTATTACATATAAAGAAATGCTCCTGTGAACACTAGTATATATAATTCTAAGATTTCAACCATGTAGATAAACTATTTCCACAATTTAATTTTTTAATATAATTACGTATCATTTATGTGTCAAACTGTATAAAGTCACATGGTGGCCAAATTCTTCCAATAAATATTTAATATAACTACATGCTTAGCACTTATTCCCCCATTTAATGTTATCATATACTTTTAATTAAATTGACATAAATTTTATCTTTCAAATATATAGTATTTACTCTCTTCATTCAAAAATATAAAATATTTTAACCAATCTCACCCCAATAAAGGAGTTATCTATTTTTAAACTAACTCTATCTTTTTATATTTATCCCTATTAAATATCTTATAATAAATATAAAGTCATTATCAATGGAGATATTTTTAAAAAAAGGTAATAATTACATCTTGAAAGAGTAAAAATGACTTACATTTTTTGAACATCCAACTCCTCAACAAATGCCTTACATTTTTCAATGGAGGAAGTATGTATTTATTTATTTATTATTTAATATTATTTTTCAATTAAAAAAATCTTATTAATTACATTTTTTTTATAATTTTTTAAAACAATAATTATACTTTAAAAAAATTTAAAATACTTTATATTTATAAATAAAATAAATTAAGGGTAAAAAATGTTATAAGATTTGTGTATAAAAAAATTAGGGATAATTTTAATAGAGATCTCTTGACCATACTTGTTGAAATTCAAAACCCTTAAATTTTAAAATTTTGCAATTTAGAAGTGCTGATTTGATATTAAATTTTTTAAAAAATAAAAAAATATCCTTCATTTTAAATAATATCAAAACTGTTTTACTTCACTTGTTAATTGCTTTATTTTATTTAGTCATTTATTTATAAAATGTTAATTTCCTTACTTCACTTGTTCATTTACACTTTTATTTTTTAGTATTCTAAATTCTTATCTTTTTATTTTTTGATATATTAGGTCTCTATAATAAAATATCAGCTGTTTATAAAAATAAAATTGCCTTATTAAAAAAATAAAATAAAATTGCCAGAAAGTGCCATTAAAAAAAGTGTGATTGTAATTTCACGCAACCCTTTAGTGAAACCCTAATTAAATTTGAAACCCCACCCTTGTCTAGCATCAAAGTATCCTGAAAAGTAATGATAATCGAGAATTGATTGAGGACTCCGACAGCCATTGCAATTTACAAAATGCCAGCACCGCTCTAATTTTGCTTGCCCTGTAAACAATAAATGAAAATGTGAAAATGAGTGAGTATCATTTATGGTATGATTAGTAGATGAAAATTCGCCTAGCGATTGGGAGTAGAGAAAAAATTCATATGGTATTTAGGCCGCTCTTTGGCGTACGAGGGTGTCCTACATTTTATTAAGGGACTGTTCCTATAGTTTGTTGAGGGATTAGAACCTAGCTTTCTCTATCAGTTTAATGAGGAAAATAACTCAGGGTATAAGACACCCCAGAGATTTGAGAATGGGGAAAGCTGTGGTTTGAGAGTGAGTCGCGTGATCTTTAATCGAGTCACACCTTATGATTGGTGAGCTTGGGTAGTCAAATCATATGGACAGAGCCCTATTTAATGTTATAGCCCACAGTTTTAGTTTGAGAAAATAAGAAAGTTATAAGGTTGGTTGATCATTGCCTATACAAATATATGATGTATCACATGTGTTAAGTTGTGGCAAGTCATGTGAATAAGGGGTCATGTCACATATTTGAGAATATGATGACAATACATGTGAGATAAAGAAGCTATTAAATGAGAAATGATGAATTATGATATGTGCAAGTATGTTTTAAGTGCTTAGTTTCATATGTATGTACTTATTTTAAAATTAATATATAACTGCATAGAGTAGGTTTTACCTTAGTTACTAAGTGATTAGATTCACACATTTCATTTAACACTTTTCAGGCTCTAGCTCTGATAATGAGAGGGAGAAGACTCTGGAGGTTAGAAATTAGCACATTCTTACTATATGCCTCTAATTTAGATTTATTTTATATAATAGTATATGATTACCAATTCTAAGTTGCATGCCATTACACTTGCACTATTTTGTTATTGCAAATGTCTGATTTGTATTTTGGACCTTGAGTATTTATGTATGTTGTGATATACTCCCTCCGGTCCTATTTATAAGTCATATCTACCAACCTCACCAATACCAATGCAACAACAGTATAAAGAATATTTATAAATGAAATTCCAAAACAACCCTTCAAATAAAAAACTAAAAAAATCCAAACAATATAATATTATTTTCTAAATAATTCTCTCTCATAGTACTTTACAAAAAGGTTTGTCAGTAAAATAAACTCAATAAAACAAAGGCTGTTAGCTTTATTTAGCGAGAAGGCCAAAATGAAATTGGTGGGAGGGGAATTTTTGGCCAGTTACATTCTTATAAAAATGATAGAAAAAGCAAATTGAGCAAAAGTACAAAAACGCTTGGGACCACAATATTCTTTAGCTGTCCAACACTGCCTTCCACTATGGAAAATTACTGCATACCTTTTGATTTAAATGCTCCAACTGAGGAAGATGGTGGGGACAACAGCAACAGTTTCTTGGACTTAAATGCTCTTCTTATGTGTGAGAATGTCTACCTAGACAACAATCAAAGTGAAAATCAACATGCAATCCATGAAGAAAGAAATGGTAAGAATATTTATGTTTATGAAATTTAGAATATTCCCATGTAAAATTTAACTTTCTAGAATCTATATTCAGTTGTTGAGAAGAATAAAGCTATTCAAATATAATCTACTTAAGAGTAATAATCAACTTTCATACTTTTTAAACATTTCAAGGCCTCTTAATACCTCAGCCAGCCTATCATAGATATCCACATGCTTATTAAGAAAATAGATGTCCACATCAGAAATATTAAAAGCTTTTTAAACATCCCAAGGCCCCTTAATACCTCAGCTAATGTGCTTATTAATAGCTTTTCACATGCATTGTAACATACTGAAGACTTTAAATTACATATCAATCAAGATATATTCAGAACTTCATGGAAAAGATACCTATAACAACTTCACAAACTCGTCAAGTTCTTTAGCGAGACGCATGCCACGCCCTCCACCACCTGCTATTGCTTAAGAAGCATAAAATGTTTGACAGCTAACATTAATCGGCATATATTTTAGTCCTCTAATTCATCGCAATGCTGCAGTTGCACTTGAACATGAAAGAATTAAGAATTAAGAAACTTTATGAAGGTCATTCAATCACCATCAACGTTCCCTTAAAATAATTATCATAGTTAGTTGAGTACTCAGTCAAGCATAAAACTTTTCCTCATCTGAAAGATTCTAACGAATAAAGACAACTCTTGGGTGATGAATACAACTACTTCACATCATAGTTACAGATGCAAACTAGAATGTCAATGCTGCTATAGTGTTTTCTCCAATAAAGGATACTGAAACATGAATGATTCCTTTAGGGCCCTTAAGAACAAATTATCATAGAGTTCAATCCAGAGGGACCTATATATTACATAAAGGGAAACAGGAAGATATCAACAAAGTTGGTTAGACACAACAACAAATCCATTTCTTTCTCTTGATTTATATATTACTAGCCAATCTTCTATTAATTCGGTTCAAACCTAATACCCAGTGCTGGGAAAGGGAATAAAAAGTGTTGGAGTTATTAAATTGTGTTCAAGTCATAAATTTCTTTACTAGGGAAACTAACTGGGATCATCCTTCTACTGATGTAATTTAAAGCTAGAAAGCTCGTCTTAAGGGAGTTGTAATTTAAAGCCCTTAATACCACATCTGTAATTTAAAGTATTTCCATTAAATCCTAGGTTATAAGTAATTCAAAACAGAAAACCTTTTTTCATAACAAAGAGAAATATCTAGACTTCAATTTTTGATAATAAAAGTTGCAGCTCCATACCTTAAACTGGTAGCAAATAGCAGATTCGGGGGCTCGATTTTCTTATTCCACTTCTTTGAGACTCTTAACATCAAGCTCTAGATGGATTTTCTTCTTTAACATCTTTATCACCTACAACATTACAAATTGTTTGATCAGCTGAATGCATGCAAATCTCATATAATTGAATGAAACTCTCTTACTATGTTCCTTGAAAATAAAGGTTATTTTCATTGAACAAGTGTGAGAGCTAGAGGATTAACTTACTCGCTGTATATTAAGTCATGCACGCAGAATTTCATATTTTATATAGAAAGTAGGGTGCACATAAACTTGTATGGACTTTTAATATGTAGTATCAATACACTCTTGAAATAGAAACAAATATGGGAGGCAATACAATTGAATCATTAAGATAGCCACTATGTAAAAGAAGGTTCTTATCAAATGAAGAACGTGTAGTCATTTGTAAGATTTTTTACACTCAAGTTGTGGAGGTAAATTGAGCAACATTACAACAAGAGAATAGCTTTAGTATACTTAGTTTCAATGAGAGTGATTCAACGCATTTGGAATCAAGTTAAAGAAACAGGTGACGCAACTCATAGAAAGACAAATAGGTGTGGAAGAAAGGGATATAATGTGAACATGGAACAAGTCATGGCAATTCTTGTACAGTAAAGAACTACATATAGGTCTCTTGTAAGTGTGTTAGGGGTTAACAAGACATCACTGATCAGACTAAAGAAAAACGGAGTTCTATAGCGCTATACCAGTACAATCAAACCACATTTAAAGGAGCAAAACATGCTTGCTAGATTGAGGTAGTGTTTGTCCATGCTAGAACAAGAAAGTATACCAAATAATCTAACTTTTCAATCAATGCACAACATAATCCATATTGATGCAAAATGGTTTTACATGATAAAGAAATCCCAGACCTACTACTTGGCAATAGGGGAAGAGCCACCATATCGAACATGCAAAAACAAGAATGATGTTAGTAAGGTTATGTTCCTAGTTACTGTGGCTAGGCCTAGATTTGATACACAAGGAAATGAAATTTTTTTTGAGAAGATTGGGTTGTTTTCATTTGTTACAAAAGAGGCAGCAAGGAGAAGGAGTGCAAACAGGGGCAGAGGCACAATGGAAACAAAACCAATCACGTCAATTACAAAAGAAGTGATGAAATCTTTCTTAATTAACAAGATGTTACCAGAAATCAAAGCCAAATGGCCAACAAGCCATGCAAGTGAAACCATTTATGTTCAACAAGATAATGCTCCTTGTCACATTCATGATAGTGATGTGGACTTTCATATGGCAGCAAGTAATGATGGGTTTGATATTCGCTTGATTTCCCAACCCCCAAATTCCCCTGATTTGAACATTTTAGATCTTGGTTATTTTAAGGCAATTCAAGTATTACAACACCATGAAGCACCTAAAACTATAGATGACCTTGTCAAGCTTGTAGAGAAGTCATTTTAAGTTTACACATCCAAGCAATTGAATAGGATATTCCTAACACTACAATCTACTATGATTGATATTATGAAGGACAGAGGTTTAAACAAGTATAAGCAAGGTCATTTGAAGAAGGATATGATGGAAAGAAAAGGTGACTTGCCTAATCAACTTAAGTGTGATCCCTACCTAATTGAAGAAGTTTTGGAGCACTTAGCATAGGTGGATGGATGATTGAGATTAAGGGGTGGATGTTTTTATAAATTCTTTATGTTTTGGTGATTAATATTTTGTGTTACAATTTGTCATGTAAATTGCAACACATAATATTAATAGTTAATATTTTGTAATAGATACTATTGGCAATGAAAAATGATGTCAAACAACCCCTAATCATAAAAGAATAAAACTGATCAAAGTTAAACAATATTAAACCAAGAACCCCTGATCATAAATTTATTTTGTAAAGGAATAGTATTCATCTTGTAAACAAAGAACCCCTGATCAAAGTGATGAAAATTTGAAGCAATTGACATAAGAGAAATTAATTCACTGGTACTACTTGCTCAATCAATAAAACAACCCCTGTTTTGCCATATTTCACAATGATACAGCTTATGGAAAAAACAAACTTGTTATCAAACATGGGAGACATTTCTACCTTTCCCCCCTTCGACCCTTCCTATTTTGATTCTGAAAAGTAACTCGAACAGGCTCTTACACAATCACAATTATATTTTTTGGTGACAAATCTATAATTATATTTAACACAAAGCTACCATACTTAGTTTAGCTGCTAGTAGCCAGGGGCTTAGGTGGTTCACAGAAATCTCATGTTTAATATCAGTAGGATCATAACAGGGTACGAATAGAATATTGTTACAAGAAGGATCATAACGGCATGCATATTTGATATCCTTTAAAATATAATTAACATAATATAATATCATCATCCATCAGACTGACAGACCGTGAGCATCCCAGACCTACTCCTTAATCAGCATAAGCTTAAATTCTAGATTAACTTAAATTATACAAAAGGTATAGAAAATTGAGATATCAAAGCATATAATGTAAAGTGTCATACACAAATCCCTTACGGTCCTTCTCTTCCTTAGTCGGATGTGTATAGTCTTCCTCAAGGAATGGAAACTTGTTCAAGTTGAAAGGGTGGACTATTTTTTTCTTTTCACTTCCTTTTGTGAACTCCAGTACTGCATCGCCGTCACTTACTTCTTCACCATCCTCGACTGCCTCTTCATTCAAATCAAATAAGTGAGATTTCTTCGCACGTACAACCTTAGCGTAGTTAGAAGATGCGAAGGAAGAACCATTCAGAGGAAGAGCCCTCAAAATCTTTTGGTTTAGAGAGTTTACCTCTCTAGAGAACTCGAGCGACCGTGAATCTTCTTCCCCGATAAGAGAATCGTCCACTATGCATGCCATTAGTTGATCCCATGACAGACCCTCAAAACGCTCCTCCATCGGACTTGAACAGTGAGATCCAGAGATATTGCACACCACAAAATGATTGACAACACTTGTGCAAATAACAGCAGAAGAGGAATTGCAATAGAGGAACAATGAGCTCGGTGGCGAAGATGAAATAGGCGATCGACGAAAACTGAGCAAAGATGGTGAGAGAAAAGGATGAAGATAGAGTGAGAGAGAGGACGCCAGTGAAATGTTAGGTTAGCCGAACGAAGATGAGTAAAGTAGCTAGGGGTATTTTCAGAATTTCATTTTAAAATGGGAAGTCTTTAGCTGTCAGTGACTTATAATGGGGACTAGATATATCTTCTAGAAATGGTCTTATAATGCGGACCGGAGGGAATGTATGTTTATAGGATCAAAATACTAGTGCAAGTGTAAAAATAAAGATTTGAACATGTTTTAATTAATTTGGGTGCTATACAATGAAAAATTGCCTCCCTTTTATTTTTGGTAAAAAGGGGTTGAGGAGTGAAATTTTGTTCTATTGTTGTTTAAGTATGTGTGACGTGTTATACTGATAATCTTAGGTTCAATGGACATGGTCCATGTGTTAAGAAGACTTTTGGCACTTGTTGAGGGTTTTGGATACCCTTTTTGTGTAAAAGTTGTGAAAAGTACATAAAACGTATTTTGGTATCCAACTTCTTGGTGTGACTTATTTTGAAAGTGAAACCCGTGCCATTAGCTAGTTCATGAAAAGATTTTTTCATAAATACCTAGACCATGTCATTGAAATGTCGAATAGAGAATCGAGACGTATTGAAAGTTCCCCAATTCTACTATCAGATAACAACAGGATTTACTAATTTTTCGTGCAATACGCCACAGCACATAGTGCCTGAGTCACGGCATGTGACATAGAGAGAAACATACCACAACGCAGCGTGCATGAGTCGCAACGCACTACCCTATATCACAGCACATATTTTGTTTTGTAATCATTTTTAAATTCTTTTACTTCTTTAAGGTATTCTATGCTTTTGAAACTTATTTTTTTTACTCTAGTATAAATAATTTTGATTGATTTAAACTCATTGTTATTAAAAAAACTTGGAATTTCTTGATTTTGAATTAAAAATTTGGTAATTGCTCTTTGAGTTAATCTTTTGATTACTATGAGCTTTATCAGCTAATTGGGTTGAGAGGAGTGAGATTTTACAGCTAACCAGAACCCGCTTAAAAATTTTAGGGTTAAGCCCAAAAAAATTAATTTTTTAATGTTCTCGATCGGGTTCAAGTTTAGCCCGAATACTCAAATAAAAAATATTTTTAAAAAAAAATATAAAATATAATAAGTATTAATTAATTTTTTAAGTTTTATATCATTTTATACTAAAATAAGACATATTTGAATGCACATTACTATAGATATTTTTTGAAAAAAATTAAAAATATTTATATTTTCATATTTTATTATTTGTAATTAATAAAGTATCTCAAAAGAATATTTAAAATATATTTTAATATTAATTTGTATATTCTGAGACCCAATTTTTTTTAAAAAAAGTTGAGTCCTATACATCATGTTCATATCCAAAAATATTTTATATTTTTTATAAAATAAGATAATTAATTTTAAGGTAAAAATAATTTTAAAAAAATTCAGGCGTGTACGAATTTCTAACTCTACTACTAAATAAATATAATAAATAAAATTTTTTAGATAATTATTTGATTATCATTTATGTCAGATTTGAGTTTTTTAGAAGGGGTAAGATGTTTTAAGCTCAATACAAATTAAGCTTGATTCAAATAAATTTGACCCGTCTGAATTACTGTCTCTAATTTGTACTGTGATCGTTTAACTTCAATAAATGATATGAAATGGTAATCATGGTTCATGGACGGTTATTTATTATGATATAATGGATTTTAGAAGCATTCTCTTGATTCCTGCCCTGAGCAATAATATCTGCAACAAGACAATGACTGTTCCTTGATACTTATTTCCATAGACATTGATTATGCTTTTAATTTCAATTTTAGTAGGTTCCTGTCAGGTTTAACCTTTTATTATAGTCTGACGAGCTTAGCCATAGGAAATGCCTTGAGCTTCCAAATATGCTTCCATTTAGCCATGAGGATCTCTGCAACTGCATGTACCTGCTTTAACTTCGAGTATTTGGCCACAAATCTTCTAAATAGAGTTGCTGAGTTAGAGGAAGTGTAAAATGAGGTAGCTCAATTTGGATCAAGTGGGAGAAGAGTAAATTTTTCAAAAAGTTGGTAAACTGTCACCAGGAAAAAAAAAATGAAAGTTAGTATATTCTTTTTTAAATAATTATCCCCATCATATTTGTAAATAACAAATTGCATATTTTATAGACTTTAATGATGCCATACATTCATAATATGATGCATACTGACATAGCTTACAAAATGAGACAAATTTGACCTCCTATTTCAAATGTTAGAAAGTGTTCGAAAGTTTGTGCACACACAAACACACAAATGATAACATAAATTTTTGTCAAGGCATGAGAATAAAGAGTATTTTGCGTCATTTGTAATTTAACTTCGTTTAAATTTAAATTTAAATTATAAAAAGGAAGTGTGAATCAGTAACAGTTAATAAATGACATTTAACATTAAGTTCTTGTTAATTACTTTAAATTCATGATTTAAAATTAGCTAACAAATTAAATTTTCAATAATTTTTTTTATAGCAACGTGATGTATTTAAATATTTAGTCAAATACAGAACATATAGTATGCATTTTTTAATATTTTTTTATATATTTAGCTACATATATATTTACTGAAAAAAATATTTTGATTATAATTTATAAAGATTAAAAAAATTAGTTAAGTGAAAAATTCCTTAAACATCACATTTAATTATTTGTGCTGGAAATTATTTTATATATATATATATATATATAAAGGAAAAAATTATTAATCTGGCTCAGTCCTTTTAGGACACGACCACTGCTTACCGATAAATTTACGTTTTCAAAGGTTTGACACGACAGTCTTCTGCAAGTTTCCTGTTGGCCCGGGTTGCTCTATTTGATATGGTTGGGCGAGTTGCGAGGGATTTCCTCAGTGAGACTTCTACTCAGTTTAGTCGACAACTATACAGAAGGTATGTTATTTTGATTCTCAACCTCTGATTTCTTCTCCTTTCCTCCTGAAGATCTGTTTTTCCGAGTGGAGCACCATGAAGCACATGTTAGTGGATGGCGACACGCCATTTCTTCCCCAAGAAATCGTTACAAACGTTCTCAAACGACTTCCTGTAAAATCCCTAATCCGATTTCAATGTGTCTGCAAAGATTGGAAAAATCTCATCAAGACCCCATCTTTCATCGCTGACCACCTCGACCACTCCACTCATCAAAACCCTTCTCTTCTTATCCAGCAAATGCAGATGAATTCTTTGTATTTATGTTTGCTCGATTGCAAGATGCAATTCCGTGAAGTTGAAAAGGCCCCTTTGATCAATTCCTTGGGGTGCGTTCGGATCATTGGTTCCAGCAATGGCTTGCTCTGTCTCGCTGATTATATGAGATATCCACCTTCCCCTTTATTATGGAATCCAGCGATTAGAGAGGTGAGACAGCTGCCCATAACTATTGATTATTTTGAGGGTAAGTGCGTTTTAGGATTTGGGTTCAGTCCAATTATTAATGATTACAAGATAGTGAGAATTTATGAGATTACTTTAGTTTGTCAAGTGGAAGTGTATTCATTAAGCACAGGATCATGGAAGGGTATAGAATTGGAGAACCTAAAGGGTGTAACACTTTTTACGAATGCTGTCACTGCTAATGGAGTTATGTTTTGGTATGGGTTAAAGCTGAGTAGTATACAAAACACTTATGTGATAGTTTCATTTGACATAGCATCGGAAGTGTTTACAGTGATACCATGGCCTGCCTTATTAAGTTATTCAGGTAAGCTTGCTGTTTATGAGAACAAACTTGCTATACTTTCTCATTCTAGGGTTGGAAATTCTCAATATTCTTTGCTTGATTTGGGTGTAATGGAGGATGGGGGTATAGGCTCATCTGGGGAGAGATGGAGTTCGAGTAAGAAATATATTCGCAGCTCCTATTCATTCAAGTTACTTCCTGGGACCCTTTGGTGGGATCAAATTGTGTGCATAGTTTTTGGACTGCCTGGAGTTAGTAGTGAAATTGAAATGGCAAATGATGGAGCAAAAGTTGGCTTATATCTTTTCAATGTCACTACTAATGAAGTTAAAAGGCTTCCCATCCCCAGACCTGGCCTTCATGTAGATGTTTTCAATTACGTGGAAAGCCTTATGCCAGTGGGCAACATCCATATTCAAGAGTCTTAATTTTTACATTGCAAATCTACCATCCATGTTTGCTGTAGATCATTATGTATCTGTAAGATTTGATGCTCTTCAGGGATGTAATATTGAATTATCAATTATGGATGCTGATATTTCTTGCTTTATGCGAGCTATCTGTTATATTTGTTCTGTTTTGTTTGCCCCCTTCTTTGAAGTATACATGTTATTGTTTGATTTCTGGTGTATGGCATTTGAGACAGATTTTTAATTATTGTACTAACATTGCTTATCAATATGCCATTTCACCTCTACCTCTACCACTCTGCTCACCAAGGGGAAAGAAAAAGTGATCAATAAGTCATGATCAATTCATTAAGCAATACATAATGAAAAATTGTTCTGTTGTAAATCCAACAAGTTATGGGATCTTTAAATACTATATATTTTCAGTTTATAATGAAAAGGCTCCTTCAGAACATGCTGTCACAGCATAAGAATTCAATGACCAGCACCATTGACAACAAGGTTCAGTATTCTTATAACGAGGCTACACTTAAGTGAGGATTTCCTCAAGGGTATCTGAAATGTAGGCAGGCACTCATGCATACTTGTCCTAGAAACTCTTCTTAAGCAATATAGATGCTTCATTGAGTTTAGGGGTTGATTCATATTCAACTGTATCTTTTTTTTATTTAAAGACCATAAATAATTGCGTGTAAACTCAGTTCAGGACATGCTTGTCGACAAGATTAAAACAAGTTTCTGCTTTATTTGAGTATTATTATATTGATGAATCATCTTCAGTAAAAGCATCTTGGCTATTGGCTAATATATTAGCAATCAACCAAAACTTGTAACAAGTTGTTCACCCCAAACAAAAATAGTGATAAGTTTATGCAATTATCAGTCAATCACAGAAAAACAAAACTTCTTAGTAAGATCATTAATAGTAGGTGTTAATTTTGCAAGGCAAAAACCAATAGAATACAAGCAACTCTATCAAGAAAGTTGTTAATTCTTGCCATTGTATGATTTCTGCTGTATGCGTAAGTAATGGATTTGTACGGTAATAGTCTAACCCAGGCGACTATTGCAACACAGATTGGACGTACACATGTTAGATTGCCAATTATATCCTAAGTAAACCGCATCGAATGGTCTGTAGTGGTATTGTGGTGATTATGGGTGTTTATCTGTTATGACATAATCGATGTTATACTCATCTCGATAGATATTGATTATGCTTTTGATAGAGATTTTACCTTCTATAGTCTCACCAGCCCTGCCACAGGCATGACAGATTGGAGAGGAGAGGAGCAGCATTTCCTTTTCCAAAGGTTTTATTCAGCTTCATTGCATGAACCCCATAGGAAATGTTTTAACTTTGTTATGAGCTTTGAGCTTCCAAGTCAGCCTCCATGAGTCTTACAGACCATTAACTCTTTAACTTGGATGGAAAAAAGAGTTTTCCTTCCCAGGCATACCAATAAATCATTTGTGGGCCTCAACCGAATAGGAATATTTAGAATCTCTCCCTCCGGGGAACCCAGCTGATGGAGGTAGAAGAGAAAGAGGGAGAGAGGAAGCAGAAGAGAAATAGAGAGGGAGAGAAAGATTAGTTTCATTCATAATAATCCATTACAGCTTAGAGACCTATTTATAAATAATATAACTAAATGCCCAACTACACTTGTATGCCTAATTACTCCTATTACTCTTAATTCTCATATATCAATACTCCTCCCAAAGGATCAGTACAAAAGTAGAAAGCAAAATTTGTATCTAAAATAAGAGTTTTTTTTTTAATAGAAAAAACATAGACTACTAGACTAGAGTTAGTGAGCTGAAGGAGTTGAAAGCAGCGGCAACATCAATCAGCTCTTGGCCAGGGTCAGGATCCAGCCACCCTAATTGGACCACCCATAATATCCCATTTCCAAAATACTTATGGGCCAGGGATGTGTGATAAGCCAACACCTAAACAAAAGAGAAATGTTGAAGCTCCCACACTTATGTCAAAATCAAACCCACTGTTATAGCTCATAGTTACATAAAACATGTGAGCAGGGGCTTGTTGGCTGTTGCGTGGAGAATATTTGGAGGACACCTGGGACAAATCTGCCAACTGCCATCATGGAAAACATTGATTCTTGGGATATTTTGACTATCACACATGCACCTAGCAGAATATTCAAGAAGCTTAGATGAAAACCCAGAACCCACGGCCTTCTGTGTGGCTTTACCCGACCCAACTTCTTTAACAACCATGGCACCGACAGTGCCCCATCCTTACTGAGCCGTTCGGTGCCTTGACGGATTGACAACTCCTTTTCAGTCATGTGGTTGACACTCCTTCGGTTGATGAAGGATGCGAACAGCCTCGGCAAGCATGTCCGTGAGACTAGAGGAGTTTCGAGAACCTCCAACAAAAACCCGAAATCCATGGCCACTTGCAAAGCCCCATACGACCCGTCTTCTTCTACTCTACTCGACCCAGGAATACTGAAAGAGGGAGCTGATCTTATTGGTTCCTTCACATTCATCTATTGATATGCCGTCTTCAGCAGTGCCGTCAGGATAGTCGGAGGTGAAAGAATCACTCAAGATTTGATAAGCCTCATTTATCTCTTGGGATCGTGAGGTTGTAGCATCTTGGTCCTTTTGAAACATAGTGGCGGCCAACGTCGTGCTATTGCTGATCTAGTGAAGCTTCTTTGCGTCGAAGCAGTCGAAGCGGACGTGAAGAGAATGGGTGTTCTTAACAGTGTTGATGGAAGGATGCTTGGAGAGAAGCTCGTTTATGGCGGCATTATCGACGGCACGGACAGTGATGTTGGTTCAGCGGCTAAACTCGGAAGAAAGGTGTGTGAGGGATGATTCGACTTCCTCTTCCTTGTAGTTAATCCGGCAACTTTGTTCTGTGTCACTTCTGTAGTCCTCTGCTTCCGATTTTCTCCAATCTCCTTGTCATTCTCATGTTTTTTTTTTTCCTTCATCTCCGTCAAGGTCATTCAATTCTGCCATTGTTTCGACGTCGATGTTACTGTTCTATTGCTGGTCGTCGAACTCAAGCACGTTTGAAACATGGTTCAGCTGTATAACGTCTGTGAGGATAGTTGGTTCAGTGACCACAGGAGAGTGCAGGCGCTGGCTGGTAAGAATTGAGAGCTTAGTCGAGATTTCGTACGTCAGGTGAAAAATGTGAGACATGGTCTGCTTGATTTGATAGGTTCCAAGATGATTAAAGAGAAATAAAAAATATAAATTTCTATTAACATATGAAATCAGAATTTGACTTCATAACATTAATCAGAGGACACAGAACTGATAAAAAAAAATAGAAGAAATAAATCTATGATATAGAACAAGAATCTCATTTTATATTTTTCTTAATAGCTACGCTTAGAAGAATCTCTAAAAGGCAAAATCTTAAAAGTCTGTTTTATTCATGATATGTCTGCTTTTATGTTGCTTTGCATATTTATATTGTTAATACAATATAAAATAATGAATAAAATTAGACAATTAGATAATTAAATAAAATTGAATAAAATCTCCTAAAATCTATATTTATATAAAATACTAAATAAAATTTAAAGGATTAAATATCTGAATAAAATTTAAATAATTAAACATCTGGATAATTATATAGATATCTAAATAAATATCTAAATATTTATATAAAGTCTAGATAACTAAATACGTAAATAAAATCTAAACAATATTATTAAATATCTAAAATAAATTAAAAATAATATTTATTTATAATATCTATCTTTTCAAATCAACCATTATTTCGAAACTCTATCATGATCTCAGTGAAGTTGTGATTTTGTTGGTCTAATGTCTGTTGGTTGCATTGAAGCAAAGCTAACTGCATATCCAAACAATCTTTGAGAGTACCAATGCGTTCATTGGATCAGCTCTCTAGCAGAGCCATGGTCAGAGAGAGGAAGTTCTGATACCTTTGATAGAGGTAGAAGAGAAAGAGGGAGAGAGAGGATACAAATAGTCTAACCCAAGCGACTATTGCAACACAGTACTGTAATACTCTATTGAGTTCACTCTTATTATTAATGATTACAGGTCTGTAAGATTTTCCAAGACTGATGTGGTTTGTGGAGTAGAAGTGTATTCATTAATCACAGAGTCTTGGAGAAACATATCGTCATTTCCCTACTTGAAAGATTTATCCATTTTTTCTGATGGTGTCACTATTAATGGAGTTATGTTTTGGCATGCTGCAAAACAAGGTGTGCAGCTTGCAGATGATACTGATGTGATAGTTTCATTGGATCTAATAACGGAAGTGTTTACAGTGACACCATCAAACTTGATTTGTATGAGGACAAACTTGCAACAATTTCTCACCGTGTTCAGTAAAACTCTATATTCTGCTGTTTATTTTGGGGTGGTGGAGGAAAGGGGTGTGAGTTCATCTGGGGAGAGATGGAATTTGAGTTGGAGATACGCGGGCAACCATCATCCATCCAAGTTACGTGCTGCGACCATTTGGAGGAATCAAATTGTCTACATTGATTTTGGAATGCCAAGACTTGGTGAAACTGAACGTAAAATGGAGAAGCAAAACTTGGCCTATATTTGATCGATGTTGCTACTAATGGACGTATGCAGTTTGCTGTCTCTAGACATGGACACGGCTTTTGTATAGGGCGTGTTTCCAATCATGTGGAAAGCCTTGTACCGATTGGCAACATCCAAAATTGAAGAGCCTTGATCCTCAAGGTTAATTATCACTTTGCCTGTAAGGTTACCAAAAGTATTTTCTTTGTTTAAGTATTTTTGATGGAAATATGTCCTTGTCAGTTTAGTTTAGACCTTTCTATAGTTTGATGCCCCTTGAAGATGTTATCTAGAGTGCAGTCCAGATGTTTGTTGCTTTATTTTACTTATCTATAATATTAGGTTGTCCATTTTTCTTTTCAAAGATAGATATATTTAATATTATTTAATTTCTTGTTTATGAACTATTTGGCAGTTTTTATAAGATATCTGATAATATTTTAATTTTTGCGCTAAGATTTCTCATCAATATGTGAAAAAGTGATTAATACAATTCATGATGAATACATCTCATAATTTGTGAAACTTTGTGCAATACATAAGAAAAAAGTGTTTTGATGTAACAACAATAGGTTATGTGGTCTTTGAATCCTCAATATTTTGAGTTTATCTTATATTTTTCTGGAACGATTATGAAAAGGCTCCTTAAGAGTAAATCACAGCATGAGAATTGAACAACCAGCATCATATATGACAACAGGTTGGTTCTTTGACAG